GGGGGGGGGGGGGGGAGGCACAGCGGTGCTGCGACCGGAGCGGGAGCGCAGGGACACCGGGACACCGGGACACCGGGACACCGGGACACCGGGACACCGGGACACCGGGCTGGGAGCGCCGGGGACACGAAGCGGCGCAGCGCCCGGCGCACAAACAGAGCGGGACCCCGCTGCTCCTTCGCCTCGTTTCCTCCGCCGCTGCTTGGGCGCTGCCCCGACCCCACAGCGGCCCCATAGCGCCCCATAGCGGGCCCATAGCAGCCCCACAGCGGCCCCAAAGCTGCCACGCAGTGTCCCACAGCGGCCCCATAGCAGCCCCACAGCAGCCCCACAGCGGTCCCATAGCGGCCCCATAGCAGCCCCATGGCAGCCCCATAGCAGCCCCACAGCAGCCCCATAGCAGCCCCACAGCGCCCCACAGCAGCCCCATGGCAGCCACGCAGTGTCCCATAGCGGCCCCACAGCGGCCCAATAGCGCCCCATAGCGGCCCCACAGCAGCCCCACAGTGGCCCTGCAGCAGCCCCACGGCTGCCCCACAACGGCCCCATCCCCTCCCCACGTTTTGGGGCCCCCAGTCTCCGTGCTGCATTTTGGGGTTCCCCATTCCAGCTCTGCTTTTTGGGGTCCCCATCTGCTCCTCAACCCCACACCGCATTTTGGGGTCCCCGCAGCTTCTCCCCCCAGTATGGGGTCCCCATCCCCACATTTTGAAGTCCCCAATCCTTTCCCCACATTTTGGGGTCCCCGTCCCCTCCCCACACTTTGGGGTCCCCACTCTCATTTTGGGGTCCCCAATCCATTCCCCACATCATGGGGTCTCCCACCCCCTTCCCTTATCTTGAGGTTTCCCTCCCCACATTTTGGGGTCTCCATCCTCCCCCCACACACTGGGGCCGCATCCTTTCCGCACATCTTCGGGTCCCCCATCCCCTCCCCAAACATTGGGTCCCCCCTCCCCACATTTTACCGTCTCCAATCCTCCCCCCACATTTTGGGCTCTCCATCCTCTCCCCACATTTTGGGCTCTCCATCCTCTCCCCACATTTCAGTGTCTCCAACCCCAACGCTGCGTTTTCGGGTCCCACTCCCTGCCCCCGTCCCGGGGTCCCCTACCTTCACGTTCCCGGTCATCCTCCGGATGAAGCCGCGGGTTCTGCCCGGGGGGCTCCCGGCCCGGCCCCCCCCTCGGCCCCACGGCTGCGGGAGCGCGCAGCTCAGCGCACAATCCGCCTCTGTCCCACCGGCCGCGCCGGGACGCGGGGAGGAGCGAGCGCTGCCCCGCAGCCGCAGCTGGGCGAGCACAGAGCCGCTCTGTTCCGGGCGCTGCCCCACAGCTGCGGGGTGGGGGGACTGGAAGCTGCCCCATAGCTGAGGGATGGGGTCGACGTAGAGCTGCCCCATAGCTGTAGGTATTGTCGCTGTAGGGCTGCCCCACTGCTGAGGGGTTGGGGGGCTGCCCCATAGCTGGGGGATGGGATCGGTGTGGGGCTGCCCCATAGCTGTGGGTACAGACGCTCGGGGCGCCGCGGCCCCGGTTTGGTGCCACGCTCAGCTGTGGCTCCGCCCCACGGGTGGCTGTGGGGCCGTGGGCTGCGCAGCGCTGCCCCACGTGGGGGCTCAGGACGCCTCCGCTGCACCCCACGGCCCCCCCCAGCTCACGGGCAGCTCAGAGGGGCGTCCCAATGCCCCCCACGTGCGGAGCTCTGCCCCATAGACTGGGACGTGTGTCGTGGTCAGCCCCACACCGACCCCACAGCTCATCCCAGCCCCACATCGACCCCACATCCCCCACATTCCCCGCACCCCATCCCCACACTGACCCCACAAGCCCCGCACCTCAGCCCCACACGCCCCAAATCCCCCCCGGCCCCACGCCGACCCCACACTCGCCCACCGGCCGCGTTCCTCAGTGGGGCAGAGGGGGAAATCGGTGCTGCGGGGCCACGGCCGCGATGACGCGGGATCGGACCGAGCGCCGCTCAGCCGAGGGACGCGGATTTGGAGGAGGCGCCGCTGCTCGGGGGGGGGGACACGTGCCGAGCTGTAGGGCCGCCCCACAGGGAGCCCGTTTCTATGGGGCGCGGCTCCCAGCTGTGCCGGCACAACGGCTCCCGGCTGCGGGGGGGGCAGCGGCGCTGCTCTGTGGAAGCGCCCATCGTCTTCATCATCATCTTCATCATCAGCTTCATCATCTCCACCATCTGCATAATCTCCACCATCTTCATCACCTTCATCTTCATCTTCATTATCGTCTTCATCTTCATCTTCATCGTCATCTCCACCATCTCCACCATCACCTCCCCCCCCGCCCCGCTCTCTGTCGCCGACATTCACACTTCGTCCCTCCGTTCCACAGCCGCAGTTCGGTCGCGGTTTCCCCTCGGGTCGCGGCGCCGCGGGGTTGGACGCCCCCCCCCCCCCCCCGCGTGCGGGGCGGGCGGTGGACGGGAGGCTCGGCTCGGCCCCCAGCCCCGCACGGCGCCGCACGGCGCTTTTCGGGGCGGCGTTTCCTCGCGGCCCCCGGGGTCGCCGCGCCCGGTGCAGGTGCCCGTTAACGGGCCGCCGTGAGGGCTGAGCCCCGGGCTGCCGTGGGGCGGGGGGCTCCGGCGGGGCACGGCTCAGCAGCCCCGGCTCAGACGCCATTCCCACCACCCCCCATTTCCCCCTTCCGTTCCCCATTCCCCCGCTATTCCCTTTCCTCCCATTCCCCATCGCATCCCCCATTTCATTCCCCATTCCCCATCGCATCCCCCCTTCCCTCCATTCCTCCCTCCATCCCCCATCTCCCCATCCCCCCATTCCCCCACTATTCCCATTCCTCCCATTCCTTTCCCCCATCCCATCCCCTATCCCATTGCCCCCATTCCATTCCATTCCATTCCATTCCATTCCATTCCCGTGTCCCCAAGCAGAGCAGCGCCCACTGCCTCAGTTTCCCCGCCCCCCTCATTTGGGGACCCCCAACTGGGGCCAGCCCTGCACACCCCGATCCCCAGAGCCCCACACCTGGGGGGCAAATGGGGGGTAAATGTGGGGTGGGGGGGGGAGGCAGGGCCCTGATGTGGGAACAGTGGGCTGTGTTTGCAGAAGGGAATTTTGTCCAAAATCACAAAATCCTGCACTGCCAGCGCTGTGCGTCCCCAGCAGTGGGACAGCAATGCAGGGCCACCAACAGAACGACGCCGCCGTGTCCCCGGCCCGCAGTGACGCTGAGCTCGGTGCCCCTGGTTCTGACCCACAGGATCCCTTCCAACTCGACGTTCCATGACCCCAAGGTCCTTCGTGTCCCCTCCACCCAGCCGCGCTCTGTGACCCACAGGATCCCCTCCATCCAACCCCCACCGTGGTTCTGTGACCCATAGGACGGATCCCTTCCCACCCCCCGGCCCTTAGGTCCCTTCCACCCCACACGCTGTGACCCCATCGCCCTACGACCTTCGATCCACCGCGCCGTGCTGTGACCCCACTGCTCTGACCCACAGGATCCCTTCCATCCCAACCATTCCACGGCTCTGCGGTTCTTCAGCTCCCCTCCGACCCAAAGCGCCGTGACCCCGTGGCTCTGCAGGATCCCTTCCAACTCCATCTGCGCTTCCACGATCCTTCAGCTCCCCGCCAACCCTCCCGCACCGCGACCCCTTTGCTCTGTGACCCATAGGATCTCTCCCCACCCCCCATCCTATGATCCTTCAGCTCCCTTCCAACCCCGTGACGCCGGGATCCCAGCACCCCGCAGTCTTTGAGGGCCCTCGCCCCCCAAACGCGCCCCACTGCCCGGTTCCGTGGCTTTTAGGGTTGCCCCCCCTCCGCTCTGGGCTGAACCTGAAGCAGGGGGGGCTCTGCAGGGCTTTCTTTCCTTTCTCCTTATCCACCTTTATTCAGAAGAAACGCGGGGGGCAGCAAAAAGGCAGCCTTGATACGATAAAAAGAAACGCAGCAGCTCCTCCCAACGGGAGCCCAGCGAGGGGCTCCGCCTCACGGCAGCAGCACCGGGACCGCAGCCCCCCGGGTCCCTGGGAGCTCCTGAGGAGGGCGGAGGGGGAGGGAATGCGGAGGCAGAGCTTCAAAAGCGCCGCGCTGAAGTCACGCTTCGGGATGAGCGGAGCAGCAGAGCGGCCCCCGGGCTCAGCACAGCGCGGGACCCCCGCAGCCCCCAGGCACCGCACGCAGCGCCGGGAAAACGCCCCCTATTGCACTTCCAGCCACCTGCACGGCAGCCCGGCGCCACAGCCCTGCAGCGTCCTCACGCAGCAGCCATGCAGCAGCCATGCAGCACAGACCCCCCCCCGCCCCCCATCCAAACTTTGCGCACAGAGCCGCAGCCGCTCCCGCAGGCCCCCACTGCCACAGGGCTTGGGGTCAACCCTGAGCCCAGCGCTCTGCTGCGGCTGTGGCAGAAAGCGAGGTGGGGGGGAGCGGGGAGGGGGTGGGAGTGGGAATCACCCCCAGCGCCCCCCCCCCAAGCGCCGCTCACTTCTTGAAGAACTTCTTGTTGAGCAGGAAGAGGAGCAGGTTGACGTTGACTTTGGCTCTGTCGAACATCTTCATGACGGCGACGCCTTCGTACTGCAGCTGCAGCAGCTCCTGGGCAGGAGCCACCGTCACCACTGTCACCGCCGTCACCCCCCCCAAAAGCCCCCGCCCACCCCCCGGCCCAGGGCCTCCTACCTGGTAGCGCAGCTGGAAGCGCTCCATGTCGATGCCCATGAATTGGGCCTTCACCTGGAAGCAGCCGGGCTCCTGGCACGGGACGATGTCGAAGACGACGTTCTTCAGCCTGGGGGACGGGCGGCCGCTGCCTCGAATGGCTGCGAGGCCGTGGCGCAGCCCCCCGACCCCCCCCAATTAACGGTGGGGTCACACAGCCACGCGGCCCCCCGGCACGGACCCACAGCTCCCATCTGTTCTGAGTCCTGCTGCTCCCCCAGCAGAGCCTGAAGGCAACTCGCCCGGCCCGCGCTGTGGGGCTGCCCCACACCAACCCCCACCTGTGAGCCCCACGCAGCTGCAGGATCGTGGGCCCACAGAACCATTGGAGGGGGAAGGAGCCCCCAGAGGTCATCTGGTCCCAGCCCCTGCAGCGAGCCGGGGCAAAGGTCCTGCAACCCAAACTATTCCCATGTTCTGATGGCCCTAAGGATGACCTTCAAGGACCTCCCCACCCCAAAGCTCTCCACGGTTGACCTTCAAGGAACTTCCACCCCCACCATCCCGCAGCTCTGTGAACGATCATTAAGGCAATAGAATCACAGAACCACCGGAGTTGGAAGGAGCCCCCAAAGCCCCCTGGTCCCCCCCCCCCCGCCCCCAGCAGGGACGCCCCCAGCTCCCCAGCCTGAACTCGGACACCCCGGGGCCGCGGGACGCACTGGCTGGCCGGCAGGTCCTGGATGTCCAGCAGCACCCCCATCTCGCAGAGCCGCGCGGCGCTGTAGCGCAGGGGCTGCAGCTTCTTGCTCTTCCCGCCGAGCCTGGAAGAGAAGGGGCGCACGGAGCACCACCATCCCTCGCCCCAGGGGTGCGACGCCTCGCTCGGCGCCGCCATCGGGTTCTGCGGGGTTTCTCCCGAAAGCAACGCACTTGTGGCCGGCTGCCAGGCCGTCCAGGCAGCTCCTGATGTACTGGTTGTAATAATCGATCTGCTCCTCGTAGAACGAAGTCTTGGCGTCGAGGGCGCGCAGCGTCTGCCGCAGCTTCAGCAGCTCCTCCCTGCGGTGCTGCCGGTAGCGCCGCTGGTTGCGGATGTCCTGCGGGAACGGAGCCGCGAGCTGGAAGAAAACTCCCCGAGCTTCGCCAGAGCCACCGAGCGCGGCGCGCATCAGAGCGCAGCTGGATTGGAGCCTGGGGGTCTGCTGCAAGCCCAAGGGCTCTTTGGGGGCGGGGTTGGGTTGCATTTGGGGACCTCTGAGGTCTTCTCCAACCTGAGGGTTCTGGGGTCCTGCCGACGGACACAGCAAGAGGAGTTGGGATTGGACTCGACTCTGCAACCCTAACCGTTCTGTGAGCTCCTTAGGGACGTGGTGAGTGGCCAGGGGTGGGGTGGTGACCTCGGAGATGTCCAACCCTAAGGACTCTGCGTCCCAGCCAGGGACAGGCTGGGAGCGGTTGGACTCGGTGGCCTCGGAGGTCTTTTCCAACCCAGTGTTCAGTGACCCCATCTAAGGACTGGCTCGTGGGCGCAGTGGGCTGCGTTGGGCTCAGTGATCCGGAGGGCTTTTCTGACCCTGACGATTCCGTGACCCCCTGCTCCTCCTTTCTACAGCTCTCAACATGAAGCAATGCTGTGTAAATGAAGCCGCCCCCTCCCTCCCAGAACGCCGCCCATCTCCCCCGCTTTGCCTTGGCCAGCTCGTTGACGAGCCCCTGGTAGTGCTGGGCTGCAGCCACCAGCCCCAGGCCCTCCAGGCGCCGCAGGTTCCTCACGATCCTCCGCTTCTTCTCCTCCAAGCTCAGCTGGCCGGCGGCCACCAGCGAGCGGCGGTGCTTCAGGCTGGGGGGGGTCTGGGAGTCCCACAGTGCCCGCCGGCGCATCAGGTGGTGGTGGGAGGCTTCCTGGGGGACAGAAGGGGGACGGGGTGCTGGGAGGCTTCCCGGGGTGCTGGGTGGTGCTGGGATGCTTGCTGTGGGGCAGGGGGCGCACAGCGTGTGCGAGGTGGAGCTCCCAACTCCCGCATGTTGTGCCCTAAGCTCAAAGCCCAAAGCGCCCCTCGGCACTGAAAAACAGAGCTCAGCGGCTGCAGGGGCGCAGGGCAGGGCCGTGGGGCAGGGCCGTGGGGCAGGGCCAGCCCCACATTCACGGGCTGCAGCTCGCCACTCTCACCTCCAGCTCCGACGCCGGCGTCTGCAGGATCTCTGTGAGGGACCCTCCTGGCTGGCACTGGATGACGTCCACCAGCATCTGCTTGGTGCTGGGGACAGGAGGGGGGTGAGGCGCCCGCTCCGCTCCACCACCGCACGTCCGAAGGGTTTCTTTGCCCAGCGCCTGAGCCAACATCCCCCCCCCAAAGGATCCCGAAGGCTGCGGCCGTGGGGCAGCCATCAGCGCCACCCTCACCTCAGCAGCAAGCTCCTGCCATCGCTCTGCTCGGCGCCCACCTCCGGCAGCGGCTTCCCGGTGAGGGTGAGGGAGATCTCCACGCTGCTGAGCTGCGACAGCGCGGGCTCCGTGCCCCCCCCTGGGCTGGGAGCACTCTCTCCTATGGGAAGGAGACCGGAGTGAGGGGGGGGTTGGCCGGGATGAGCGGGAGGGGTGCGATGGCACAGCTCTCTACGTACCGACGAGGGCCTGGACAGTGGGAAGCTCACCCAGGTCCTCCAGCAGCTCGTGCAGAGGGTCCCCGGGGTCGGGTGCGATGGAGTCCTGGTGCTCGAGGAGGAGCTGAGCAGTGAGAATGAAGAGTCAGTGGCAAAGGGGCACGGGGGGAAGGGGGACTTGGAGCAAAGGGCCACAGAAATCCTCTGTGCTCAAGTTTGTGAAGTGAGGGGGTTTGGGAAGGGGGCTGCAGAGCGGGGACTCGGGCGGAGCAGAGGGGATCGATCTGCTCTGGGAAACACGATGGGATCCAGAGGGCTGTGCAGCCCTGCTGGGAACTGCTGGCTGGGTGACACCGTGGGATGGAGGGGCGCCACGCTGCTCAGTGATGCTCCACCATCGGCCCATCCCTGCTCACTTCTGGGATCACCGAGGTTGGAAAAGCCCCCCAGGACCTCAGGTCCAACCCTCCCACCCCCCGTCACAGGGACACAAAGGACGATCTCAGACGTCTCCTCCAACCTCAGCGACCGAGTGACCCCATCCGCAGGCACGGCGGGGACGTGGGGTGGGACCCGCTGGTCTCTGGGGGGGCTTTTCAAACAAGCCCAACCCTGACCCACCGCACCCCCCCCGCTGAGCGCATCCCTCAGCACCACATCACCGCGGGCCCTGAGCCCCTCCAGGGGACGGCGAGCCCCCGACGCCCCCTCACCCTGTGCGTGGCGACGAGTTCCCCCGCCGTGATGTAGACGACGGGTTTGGCCACGGCCACCATCTCCGAGTACTCGTCCACGTTGAACCTCTCCTCGGGCTCCGGGACGCGGCAGGCGGCGGCGATGAACCTTCTGTGGGATCACCGTGCTGAGCCTCGGGCCGACCGCCACCACTGCCACCATCACCACCATCCCCACTGCCACCATCACCACCATCACCACCATCCCCACTGCCACCATAGCCGCCATCACCACCGCCGCCATCGCCACCAACATCACCACCATCGCCGCTGCCATTGCCACCCTCACTGCTATCACCACCACCACCGCCACCATCACCACCATCGCCACCCCCCCCCCCGCCATGCCACCCCCCCGGCACCCACCGGAACTTGCCGTGCGTCTCCTCCAGGTAGCGGTTGGCCGCACACAGGTGCGCGTTCTCCCCCTCGAAGGCTTTGCGTGCGGCCGCGTGCTGCAGCACTTTGGCGATGGAGCCGAGGCTGCGGCGCTGCTCGGGGCGCAGGGCTGCCCCAGCTGAGACGTCCACGATGTCAAAGCCGTCGGGGGCCACCACCGCCGGGTTCATGAAGCGGTAGTAGAGGAGGTTCCCCACCACCTGTGGGGAGGGAGACGGCCGCGTCGGAGAGCCTGCGCAGCAGGGGGGGGGGCTGCTCTATGGGACCCCCGCACAGAGTGCCTGCGGGAGGCATCTGATCCAGGAAACATTTCCACTGAAGGTCTCTGCTGGTCTCTATACTGGGAGCACTGGGCCCCCGCACCCATACTGGGAGCACTGGGTCAGCCCATACTGGGAAGCAGTGTGCCCCTGTGCCCATACTGGGAGCACTGGGTCGTGAAGGTCATAAAGTCGAGAGGGAAATGGCAACTGAGGGACATCCTGGAGCGAGATCCCCCTCCCACAAACCCAGGGGTGCTGGGAAGCCCGCGTGGCAGCGCAGCCCCCAGGCACCTTGTCCAGCTCCTCCTCCGAGGCTTTGGGGAACTTCTCAGCCAGGGACGCCCGCAGGGTTTTGGCCACGTAGCGCATCCCGTAGCTGGAGAGAGCACAGGGGAGGAGGTCGGTCAGCACGCGGCGAGGGACCGGGTGCCAAATCCACCGCGGTGCCGTCGGGGTCTCAGGAATCCCCATCCCCATCTGCTGCCCAGCTGCCAGCCCGCACCGCCCCAGAGGACGCCTTCCTCCTGACTCCATTCCTTCCAGCTGCACCCCAGGAGCAGAGCGCTTCAGAGGCCATAAGCACCTCTGGGCATCAGCGGAGGAGCTGACATCGCTTCTCTCCTTGCCGGCAGCTCAAAGGAATTCCCACAGCAAGGAAAGGGACGGAAACCCCCCAGCACCCCCCCTGCCCTCCCAGGACTGCGCTGCGGGGACGTGGGGAGCCCTGCGGGGTACGCACGGGATTTGATCCACAGAAGAGGTGATGGCAGAGACGAACTTCTCCGTCACGGTGAGGAGAGTGCGGACGGAGACGTCCAGGCGCCGCTGGACCTCGGGGTGGCAGAGGGCTTGCTCGGGGCTCACCTCGTACGGGAGCCCGCTGCGCGAGGACACCCAGTGCCCATCACCAGCCCGGCACCAGCTGAGCCCCCAGCAAACCTCAGCGCTGGGCTGAGCACCCCCCCAACCTCACCACCTTGGTAACCCAGCACAAGGTGAGCCCCCCCCACCCAAACCTTCG